TTGAACTGTATCTAACAATTCAATACAATACCAATCAAATTTCAGCAAGGTTAAATAGAACATACTACTTCCAAAATTGATGTGTATCCCTTCACACCAAACGCAAAAATCAGTTACAGATGGATTAAAGACTTAAACATGAAAAGAAAAACTTTACAACTTTTGGAGAAAATCTAAAATATCTTTATGAACTTTGGGGTAAGGAAGACTTTCTTAAAGAAGACTCAACATGCTCAAACAAAACAAAGAAAAAGGAAAAGTTTGCTAAATTCTGGTTCATTTAGATAATCCACAGACTTCTACTTCCATCCAAAGTGGAGTAGAAAGGTCTAGATTAACTTTCTTGCTTAAAAACAAAACAAAAGGAAAAGATGATGTATATAAATATAGGCAACAGCAACTTGAAAGACATTGGACATCAGGCAACAAAGGGTAGTGATCCTTGAGAAATGGGCAAAGAACAAGGTGACCCCTGTGATTGTCCAAGCTGACTGCCTTGTTTCCAGATAGAGAGGAGGAACTATGGTGAAATACTCCCTGAGTTGAAAAGATGGAACTAAGAACCTGGGGAGACTGAGGCTGCCTGAGTTCATAGACAGGACAGAGTACTAGCAAAGAGAGAGAATTTCACAGAGAGAGATCCCCAAGACCTGCAGGGGATCACCCTCAAGTATTCAGTGTGTGAGGAACTGCCCAGGATGGGGAAAGAAGCATCACAAAGAAGAAAAGGATTAAACATGCTGGGAATAGAAGGGAACTTCCTCAACCTGATACAAGGCATCCATGAAAAACCCAGGTTAACATCATACTCAGAGCTGAAAGATTGGATGCTTTCCCACTAAGAGCAGGAACAAAACAAAGATGTCTGCCCTCACCTCTCCCATTCCACATCATAATGGAGGTTCTAGCTAGGGCATTTAGGCAAGAAAATGAAATAAGAGGCATCCAGATCAGAAAGGAAGAAGTAAAACTATCTCTGTTTGTACATGACAAGATCTTATATATAGAAAATCCTAAAGAACCCACTAAAAAAAAAAAAAAACCCGTAGAATAAACAAGTTCAGCAAGGTTGCAGGATACCAACTGAATATATACAATCCATTGTATTTTTACCCATTTGCAATGAACGACGTGAAAAATTATGAAAAAAAAATTCCATTCATGATAGCATAGCAAAGGAAAAAAAAAAAGACAGGGGAGTAAACTTAACCAAAGTGCAAAACTTACATTCCAAAAGCTACAAAATATTGTTGAAGGAAATTAAAGATCCAAGTAGATGTAAAAATATCCAATGTTCATGAACTGGAAAACCTAACATTGTTAAGATGGCAATACTCTTCAAATTGATCTATACATTCAACACAGTCCCTATCAGAATCCCAGCTGAAGTGATCCTTACCTCACACCATGTACAAAAATGAACTCAAAACAGATCAATGACCTAACTATAAGAGCTAAACCTATAAAATTCTTAGAAGACAACACAAGGGTAAATGTCCATGACCTGGTATTTTGCCATGGATTCTTAGATGACACCAAAAGCCCAAGCAAACAAGGAAAGCAGCAGCTAGATTGGATTTCATTGAAGCTAAAAACTTTTTTGCTTCAAAAGACACCATTAAGAAAGTGAAAAGACAGCCCATAGTCATAGAAAAATACAAACATTCATTCCTTCAAAATGAGCATGTAGCAGGGGCTGAGGAATGAGAGTAAGCCAGACAAAAACCCCTCTTCTGTCTTCTAGTGTGAGGATTCAAAAAGGACATTAAGAAAGGAACAATTAGCTCAGACTCTAACCCTGGCTGTTTATCATCAACACCTGTGACCAGAAACAGTATTTCCCTCAAGGACATGTTGCAGCTGCAGTCTGATAACAACCCATTTCTTTGAGGACTCCTGCTTTCTTACTGAGAAACTATTTGCTAAAGTTTCTGAAGTTGAAACTCAAATCCTGTCATTTCCTTCCAGGCGACAACCACCAGGAATTCATCTATTGTTGAAAAGTTGGGTTTATTATTCATTGCTGTGAAAGAGAATGCACACCATGGGAAATCATGGGGTGTATCATTAAGAGTGTTAGAACAGGGGCGCCTGGGGGGCATCTGCCTTCAGCTCAGGTCATGATCCCAGGGTCCTGGGATCGAGCCCCGCATCCAGCTCCCTGCTCGGCAGGAAGCCTGCTTCTCCCTCTCCCACTCCCCCTGCTTGTGTTCCCTCTCTAGCTGTCTCTCTCTCTCTGTCAAATAAATAAAATCTTAAAAAAAACTTTTTTTAAATTAAAAAAAATGTTAGAACACAATTATAGGATTTGGCTTGTTAGGTGATTGGGAGGAGGGTTTGGGATTGCGTGCTGTCAAAAGCGGGGTTAATTCTATGATTGAGTACTTAATGAATCTCATCTACAGGGAGGACTGAAAAAGTGAGGCTAAAGCTGTGATGGTAAAGAAGCAGTAGTCTTTAGCTGGGAGTGGGGATGTCTGGTTGTTTGTGGCTTGGACAGTGCTCTTGTTTTGTGTTCAACATAACTATGGAGTGGACTAGTTTTGTCTTGACCCATCATAATCACTCTGATGTTGTTTTATGAAATTGTTTATGCTCAACAGGACAACACCAAGAACTAGCCCCTGGATGCCAGGGACTGCTCTTCTCCCTCACATACCAGTAAGCATATAATGTCCCGTTCTTGGCTGGAGGACCATGTACATAAGTAATTTTGACAGAGAAGCAGCTTCTATTTCCAGGCCAGGTGGGGAGTTTCAAGTAAGTGAGTGACTACATACATCTGTTTAAAAAAACCTCTTTTTAGGGGCGCCTGGGTGGCTCAGTCAGTAAGCGTCTGCCTTCGGCTCAGGTCATGATCCCAGGGTCCTGGGATCGAGCCCCGCATCGAGCCCCGCATCGAGCCCCGCATCGAGCCCCGCATCGGGCTCCCTGCTCTGCGGGAAGCCTGCTTCTCCCTTTCCCACTCCCCGTTTGTATTCCCTCTCTCGCTGTCTCTCTCTCTGTCAAATAAATAAAATCTAAAAAAAAAAACCTTTTTAAAAAAGATTTTATTTATCTGAGAGACAGCGCACGCGAGAGCATGAGCATGGGGTGGAGAATGAGCGGAGCAGAGAAGCAGACTCCCTGCTGAGCAGGGGGCAGATGTGGGGCTCAATCCCAGGACCCTGGGATCATGACCTGAGCCGAAGGCAGACGCTTAACCAACTGAGCCACCTAGGCATCCCCAAAAACTTTTTTTATTGAAGTATAAACATACAATGTTATAATAGTTTCAGGTGTACAATATAATGATTCACCATGCTATACATTTCTCAGTGCTCATCAAGGTAAGTGTACTCTCCCTTCTGCCTCTTTGCATCCAAGAGAGCAAGATGGGTCACCAGCAGTTCTACTGGAGCCATCTGAGGAAAGATGGCCAGGGTTCTTGCCACATCTGCTCAAACAAGCAAGGTCTGATCTAGAAATAAGGCCTCAATATTTGCTGCCAGTGTTTCCGTCAATATGCGAAGGATATAGGCTTCATTAAGTTGGATTAAGTGAAATTCCTTGAATGGGTCATCCACGATACCTACCTTAATGCCAACTCATTGTACATAAGATAAAGATATTTCAATTATTAGTGTTTTAATATGAAAATAAAAGGATAAGTGTATTCTTAATCCCCTTTATTTTACCCATTCCCCCCCACCGGCCCCACCTCCGCATTCCACATCTATCTTAACCTGGTGGTATGCACTGGAAACCTTGGTCCTCTTTACAGTCCAGGCCAGATATTGATCCCTCACACACAGCTATGCTCTGCTTCCAGCCTAGCAACAAAACACCACTTCGTTTAAATTTTACCTGAACTCCATCCTTTTCCAAATCCTAAAACAACTCCCTTTCCTTTGCGTAGTAACAGGTGTCAGGACTCTATTGGTATGCTACCTCTATCCTTGCAATGAGTCAATAAAGGTGATTTTGTTGAATTATAGGATTGTCGCTGGTGCTCTGAGGCTCATCCGGCTACAATAGAACTATATATAGTAAGTTAGATATAAATGCTATGGAAAAAAGAAAGCAAGGGAAAAGGGTAAGTGTTGGGGAAAGAACAGTTTGCAACTTAAACAGGATGGTCAGGGCGCCTGGGTGGCTTGATTGATTGGTTGGGCAACTGCCTTCGGCTCAAGTCATGAGCCTGGGGTCCTGGGATCGAGTCCCACATGGGGCTCCCCTGCTCAGCAGGGAGCTTGCTTTTCCCTCTGCCTGCCACTCCCCCTGCTTGTGCTCTCTCTCTCTCTGTCAAATAAATAAAATCTTAAAAACAAACACAAAAACAATTTAAAGAAGATGGTCAGGGAAGGCCTCGAAGATTAGTGATATCTGAGCAAAGACCGGAAAAAAGTGGGGGATTTTTTAAATCTTCTGAGTATCTGGGAAAACAGCATTCCAGGAGGGAGGAACGGTTGGTGCAAAAGTCCGGAGTAGGAGCAAGCAAGGTGTGTTCCAATCACATTTTCATAGTGCGCTGACCTTGACAACCTCTTTAATTCTGAACCTACCTTTACCCCACCATTACTCCCTTATCCAGCTTTTGCCTTTTTTCCCCCAATAACTTTTCCATATACAATTCCCCGTTTATTACGTTTGTTTTCTGCTTTGCGAGAAAGGGCGGGCATCCTCACCTATCTCGCTATGTAGCCTGAGCTTGGAGACCTGGGGGACACACAGCAGGAGCTCGACAGGCTCGTGTAGAAGGGCGGACTGTACTGCCCTGGAGCCCGGGGCTGGGGAGAAAGCAAGGACAAGGGAAGGCGGAAGACACCCATCGCCATCGCGCAGGGCATCCGCGGCCACTGTGGGGCGCGGCGGACCCTCAAGAACGCGCCGCAGGGCCAGCACCCCCACCACCCCGGCCGGATGCGCGCCCTCGCGCGTGCGCCGGCAGCGGCCCAGGTCCAGGCGCCCGCCTGATTGGCTGCGCGGCGCCTGGAAACGGCGCTGTGCGTGCGCGCTTCCCCCGCGCGGGCCCGAGTGGTGTGTGGCTCTTTGGTCTCCGTCGTCCCCGCTGCAGCCCCAACTCCCGGTGCGGGACGCTCGTGCCCGGAGCTCGGAATGTTCCCGGAACTCAATAACCTTCTCAACATCACCCCTGACAGGGCGGAGCAGGTAAGACGCCCCGCGGTGGGAAGGGGGCGGGTCCCGGAACGTGGCGGAAGACCGCATCCCCGGATGAAGCTCACGCGGAGCCGTGGGAAAGACGCGACGTCCGCGGGCAAGACGCGACGTCCGCGGGCACAAGGGCGCCTGGGAGTTGTAGTCCGGGGAGGGCCGACCGGGAAAGTGGGCTCGGCTCGGGCGCTTACGAAAGGGGGGCGTCTTCTCAAAGGCGGTGTGTACCCTCGAAAGCGCCCGGGAAGCTTGACCAACTGTGCATTGGCTTAACGTTCACAGACGTGTACTGGGGGGCACTGTGCGTGCTCACTGGGTCCCGGCGCCCAGAGGAGGTTGCCTGAGAGTCGGGAGTTCGATTCTCCACCTTCCTCAGGAGACCAGCTTCTTAACCGCCCCGAGTCTCTCTCTCTGACCCTGCGGCATTGTCAGGTCACAATGAACGCTGCTCCCCGTCTTCCTCCTCATGGTCTTGAATGGTGCTCTTCCAAGTTGCTCTCAGCCAGCGTTGGCTTGTATGAAGTCGGCCTTGGGCACAGCAGCTCCGCCACTTTGTTTTCTCCACCCTCCTTCCCGCACTGCGAGGCATCCCGAAATTTTTCACATTTTAGCCCAGCGTTACTTGTCCCAGGAACTTAACCTGGTTTATTTTATAACCTTTGTCTTCCTAAGGAAATGGTAACTCCTCCAGGCAGCCAAGACACCAAATGTATCAGGCCTTTTTATGAACCCACAGTGTCAGGCAAATTACAGTTTTCAGTAGACCCTGTGGGTGTCAGTTGCCCAAGCCTGCAGGTGGCACTGGCGACCTTGCTAGTTATCTGGGCACCTGCAGAGCGCTCAGGCCAGGGCCAGAGTGGAGGACTGGAGGATCAAAGTGGGCACCGGGAAATGACAGCACTGGAGGTAACTCTCAAGGTCTGATAGTGTGATCTTTCATATTTTATAAGTGAAAAAAAGTCACAACATGGAAGTGCCGTATCTGATACCATTTGATCCCGACCTTCCCTTTCACTGACCGGGAACTAGAGGTGGCTGGAGCAGGACAGCCAGCCCCTGTGGAGACCATCTTTAGAGGTCTTTCCAGGACTTTCCATGATCAGAGCTCTGCCTGAAGCAGTGTCCAGGGCCATTGGGATGAGAACTTTGTTACTGGAGGCCTCTGTCAACTACTACTACTCCCCTCTCCCCCACCCTATTGGACAGAATTGGTATCAGAATTAGAGATAGGAAGGAAGTTGGATCAGATTAGTTTTTTGAAGGTGCATTCCAGTCTTGGCAGGCTGTGATTTTTGTTGGGTTCTCTCGTTCTTCCCAGGACTGGTCCCTGAGGTACCAAGGTGAATGAGGAAGAGGAGGCACTTTATTCTCTGTTTGCCTTGGGAAAGTGGAAGCTGAGATATGCTTGCCCATAATGAGTGACTTAATAGCAATCACTTTAAGTGTTGTTTTTTTCCATAATTTTGACTTATTTTCTTCTTTTTGGTAATCTGTGTGTGTGTGTGTGTAGATACCAACCTCCTTCCAGGGAGTCTAATCCACCTTTTTGTGTTCCTCTTAACTTGTAGGGGAAACTGACTCTACTCTGTGACGCCAAGACAGACGGCAGCTTCCTTGTGCACCACTTTCTCTCCTTCTACCTCAAAGGTACAGACTCATTGATGCTGTAGAAAAAGAAACCTAAGGGAGAACGCAGTGGGAATAGTATTAACCAACCAGGGCTTTGGTGTTTGGGTAGCCAGATGGCTGTTTATTAGGTAACAGGTTACTGACCATCTTGTTCCCTGCCCATCCATCCCAAAGGGTGTTATGTGCTCTCTATATATCCATGTCCTGTCTTCCCTTCTCCACCAAGTGTGCACACATTCTCACCAAGTAAACCAACTGTGGTTTTTAAAAAATAATATTTTGGAACACCTGGGTGGCTTAGTTGGTTAGGCGTCTGCCTTCAGCTCAGGTCATGATTCCAGGGTCCTGGGATTGAGTCCTGCATCGGGCTCTTATGGGGCCTCCTGATTTCATTGCTCCTCGGTCCTTGTATATCTTGAGGTCTTTGGGCCCTGGATGCATTGACACATTGCCCAGCCAGTAGATGCTTCCTAAGGAACATCGGGAGGAAAACTGCAGGGCCACTGCAATTTATAGGCGGAAGTAGATTAGAAGAAGAAAACAGCCAAATGAAAAAAAAAAGACTCTTTTTTTAAAGATTTTTATTTATTTATTTGACAGAGATAGACACAGCAAGAGCAGGAACACAAGCAGGGGGAGTGGGAGAGGGAGAAGCAGGCTTCCCGTGGAGTGGGGAGCCCGATGCGGGGCTCGATCCCAGGACCCTGGGATCATGACCTGAGCCGAAGGCAGACGCTTAATGATTGAGCCCCCAGGTGCCCCCCCAAAAAAGACTCATTTATCAACTGATTCTCCTTGAGCTCCTGCTGAGCCAGGCCAGGATAGAGGGTAGATTTTGGCACTCTTAGTTGTAATAGTTCACAGCTTTGAAAGTTGTTTTCTTTTCCAGATGATGTTATTGTCAGCACTGAAAGAGCAAGAGAATCTACAGATAAATTATTAGAAACTAATTATGTTTAGTAAGGTAGCTAGAGCTTCTTTGTGTTCCCCTTCTAACTTCTTGGATATAAGAATAGTTGGAAAGAAATCAACTATATTTCTGTGTACACCAACGATGAACAGAAAAATACTATTTTTTATTTAATTTTTTAAAAAGATTTTATTTATTTGTTTGTTAGGGAGAGAGAGAGAAGAGCACAAGCAGGGGGAGTGGCAGGGAGAGGGAGAAGCAGGCTCCCTGCTGAGCAAGGAGCCCGATGCAGGACTCAATCCCCGGACCCGGGATCATGAACAAGCTGAAGGCAGACGCCTAACCGACTAAGCCACCCAGGCGTTCCAAAATACTATTTTTTAAAAACCACAATTCGTTGACAATTGAACAAAATAAGGTACCTAGTAATACACATAACAGAAGTACATCTCAGGTTCAATGAAATAAGATATAATTATTATATATGAGAAAATGTGTATCTTAGAATGAAATTGGGTATGTCAGGTTGCAGGGCCCCTTGAGTCTGTCTAGGCCTGGCCCAGTGCTTTTGTTTCCAGAAGTATGAACTATATGAGACTGATTGTAAGTAAAGACGTCACTAAAAATCTGTTTGTTTTATTTTCTAGCTAATTGTAAAGTCTGCTTTGTGGCACTCATCCAGTCCTTCAGTCACTACAATATCGTGGGACAGAAGTTGGTAAATATCATAGACGTCCGAGGTGCAGTCCCTGAGTATGTGGGTCACGCAGGTGTGAGTGGGGCCGAAGCTGGTCTCCCCTGTGTGGGTTGTAGAGAACTTAGCAAGAGAGTGACTGGGGAAATCACAGGGTGCTGAACCCCTTATCTGAAGGTAGCATCTCTACCTGTTTTATTAATTTAGAGTTTATAGAACCACATCTGTTGTTAATTAATCAAATGCAGCTCTACTGACTCTGGACCAGTTAAGATTGTCTCCTTCTCAGTGTGGGCTTTAATCAGTCCTGCTCAGCTGATCATAGCTTGGTCTACCACCAAATTGAGTGCCTCCTACTGTCTCCCTAAGTTTAGGGCTTAGAACCCATATGTAGGGAGAGCTGCTTTTGTCACCTGCTCCTTATCTGATCTTGGCCTGCCCTTCATCTTATCAGATGTGGGCAGGAAAGAATAAGATGGCCAAGAAGCTGGTGAACCTTCTGGCCTAGCCTAGGCCATTGCCCACGACCTGTGACCGGAGGGGCTTACTATTTTGCTTTTTTGTTTTTGTTTTTTGGGTCTTGTTTTATTTTGTTTTGTTTTTATCTTTTTTTTTTTTAATTTTTTTTTTTTAAGATTTTATTTATTTACTTGAGACAGAGAGAATGAGAGAGAGAGAGAGAGCACATGAGAGGGGGGAGGGTCAGAGGGAGAAGCAGACTCCCTGCCGAGCAGGGAGCCCGATGTGGGACTCGATCCAGGGACTCCAGGATCATGGCCGGAGCCGGAGGCAGTCGCTTAACCAACTGAGCCACTCAGGCGCCCTCTTTTATTTTTTTTTAAAGATTTTATTTATTTATTATTTGAGAGAGAGCGAACGAGAGACAGAGAGCACAAGAGGGAAGAGGGTCAGAGGGAGAAGCAGACTCCCCACCGAGCAGGGAGCCCGATGCGGGACTCGATCCCGGGACTCCAGGATCATGACCTGAGCCGAAGGCAGTCGCTTAACCAACTGAGCCACCCAGGCGCCCTATTTTGTTTTTTTTTTTTTTTTTTTTTTAAGATTTTATTTATTTATTCATGAGAGACAGAAACAGAGAGAGAGAGGCAGAGGGAGAAGCAGGCTCCCAAGGAGCAGGGAGCCCGATGTCGGACTCGATCCCAGGACCCTGGGATCATGACCTGAGCCGAAGGCAGACGCTTAACGACTGAGCCACCAGGCGCCCCTTGTTTTGTTTTTAATAGACCAGCCTCACAGAGGGAAAGAAGCAGGCTCCCCATTAGCAGTGATCATTGAAATGCCAGTCTTCCTACTGGGCCGCATCACTACCCGATGTCACTCTGATGGGGAGAGACAAATGAGGGGATGAGAGGAGGGTAGACTCTTTCCCACCCTCTGCTGAGAAGCAAGAATTTCCTGTGTTAGAGGTCAGAGCATGAGCTCAGGGAGAGCAGTCATGTTAAGAACACATTACATGCCAGGTCTGTGAAGCATGTCTCTCTGACCCTAAGCATCTGTGTTTCTCGATGAGAAACTGGTGTACACTCATGTCCAGATTGGCTACTTTTTCTGTTACCTTTGAATCGTCATTGACACAGCAGGAACGGCCCGCACAGTACTGGGCACGTGAAGGACTAGAGTGTGAGCCTCCATACTCTTGGTGTATTACTGAACTGCCATTAGTAGAATGGTAATGAGCAAGGGCAAAGTGGATGAACAGGAGTCTTTCTGTCTGCCAGGGTGACTGTGGAGCTAATGGTGCTGCACAGTGGAGGACACTGGGGTGTGAATGAACAATTAAGACTTGGTCAAGGGGCATGAGGGGTCTAAAGAGCTCCGTGTGACCTGTGTCTGCACAGACAGAGCAGTGGGTTGCGTATTTAGATTGTATCCATCTTTGGGTGTTTGTCGAAATGCAGATTCTTGGGCCCTGCCCACAAAGCTTCTGGTTCTGGAGGTCTGGAGTGGCGCTCAAGGATCTGCCTTTTAATCAGGTGACTCTAGAGCTTCTTAATCGGGTAGGTCATGAAGAGCCATGTTAAGAAGTTCTGGTCTAGAGGCACCTGCCTGGCTCAATCCAAAAAGCATGCGACTCTTGATGTCGGGGTCGTGAGTTTGAGTCCCACGTTGGGTGTAGAGATTATTTTTAAAAATAAGTTAATTAATTAAAAAAAAAAAGTCTCTGGGGCGCCTGGGTGGCTCAGTCGTTAAGCGTCTGCCTTCGGCTCAGGTCATGATCCCAGCTTCCTGGGATCGAGCCCCGCATCGGGCTCCCTGCTTGGCAGGAAGCCTGCTTCTCCCTCTTCCACTCCGCCTGCTTGTGTTCCCTCTCTCACTGTCTCTCTCTCTGTCAAATAAATAAATAAAATCTTAAAAAAAAAAAAAAGTCTGGTCTAGAGCAGGGGTTGGCCCATTTGTTTATGAGTCGTGGGTGGTTGCTGTCATTCTACAGAGCTGAGTAGTGACAGCACAGACTATGGCCTGCAAAGCCTGTCTTGCCCTACGCAGAGAAACTTAGCCCACCCCCGAACTAGTGTGTCGAGAGTTCATGTTGCCCCAGCTCTCATGGGAGTGCCACCTCTGAGGAAGAGGGCAGAGAAGGAGAACCTAGATCTTCCTGTGTGGCCGGCAGCCTGGCTGTTAACAATCTCGAAGCTATGTTCCTGAAAGCCTCAGAGCAGTTCTGAGGTCCTGTACCACTGAGGTGCACCCGAAAGGGTTTGTGAAACTCGAAGCCAACATCTGGCCCTTTCTTCTGCAGCCAGCATTTTTCAGACCTTGGTCATTCTCCCGCCATTTTATTGTCATTATTACCATTTCTAAATGTGCTTAACTTTGTAAATACATATATTTAGAAAAGTTGATGATACACTTCCTGATACTATTGCAAATTAAAACCATTGAGCCGTATTGAGCCGTCATGAAAATGAATATGTGAGCAAAACATCAGTTTTTTACCAAGTGACAATTAAATGTAAAGGCACACCTGAGCACAGTAGGGATTGTGGGTTGGGAACACACAATGGAAAGAAGGCATGGGCCCCATCCGAAGGTGGACAGGTGTACATTTGCAGGGCTTAAAATGTGTCCTGTGCCCTTTTGTGAGCTGGAGTCTGGCCTATGGGGTGGGTTCCCCTGCAAGGCACTGTGATTCACTCTCTCTTGTGTTGTTTAGGGTGTCAGCCTGACTGCAGCCCGGGAATGCGGGCAACTTGTGTTCCTCGAGGGTCTTAAGTCTTCAGTGGATGTCTTCTTCCGGGCTCAGGCGGAGCCACACCCCCTGCAGTTCCTCAGGTCAGTCAGCCCGCAGCCCCGTCCAGAAGTACCCACCTGGTGGGGAGGCCCAGACCAGGCTTGCCCTGTGATTCCTTCTCCCTGGCATGTGGCGTGTGGGGGGACAGATCTGGTTTCAGGAGGCAGACACTTCCCTGGTGTTGCGGCTTCATCAAAAAGCCCTTGGCTCTTATCATGGGCCAGAGGGTGTATGGCTGACCCAAAAGCTTACAGAAAGCATTATTTGCTGGGAGTATGGCAGAACAGTGTTTTTTCCAACCCTGGTTCAGAGCCCATGCACACACCTTTGTTCTGTTTTTGGGTCAATACAGGGCTCAGCAAAGTATGGCCCATGGGCCAGCTACCTGTTTTTGTAAATAAAGTTTTATTAGAATAGCTGCATTCATTTCTTCGCATATTGTTCCTGGCTGTTTTGCACTCCAACGGCAGAGTTGAGTAGTTGAGACAGAGACCATAGAACTCACAAGCCTAAAATATTACTGTTGCTCTTTAAGAAAAAGTCTGTTGACTCCTGGGTTTGCTATTCTGAGATTGGTTTTTCTGTTTCTTGTCCTTTATGAGTGTCAGCCACAAACAACTCTGTGCAGACTCCCCACCTGGTTGCTCTTCTTCCTCCACCACAAAGGAGTCCATACGGGAGCTCTCCCCACCGCCCCCTCTCTCAGACTCAGCCTGATGCAGTGGATGGAAAGCAGTATGGTCAGAAGGCCCCGTGCCCTGACCCTATGCGTGTGATCTCGCACACAACCTTTACCATCTCCGAACCTGACTGTCTTCGTCTGAATGATGGGCCTGGTTACACCTCACGCCTGGGTTGGGGGAAGCTGTCCTTGCTGTTAGCGGGGCTTGGACCTGGAGCATGGGCACATGCCTAGGCCCTTTGCTCTCGTGCTTTTTGAGCCTCTTTTGCTGGGAAGTGACCGCCAAGGGTAGTCACTGGGGAGGTGGAGGTAGCTGGGCCAACTTGTTCAGAAACAGGTGGAATCTGTTAGGTACACAAACAGCCCTTAGACCTTGGTCCCTCACTGCTAGGTTACCTGAATTGCTGTTTAGCTTTTTGTCCCCATGATGACCTCCCGGGAAGGCTTCTCCTGCCTGCCCAATCCAGATTAATCTTCTGATGCCTTAAGTTCTTAGGAGGAGGAGCTGCATGGTGTCTCTTGAGGGTCCGAGAAGCTGTTTATTTTTGTGTCCCCCAGTATCTAGCACAGTGCTTTGTATCTCCTAGGCCTCAAGGAATGTTTGAAGTACAACTTGCTCATGTATGAACTCATGCCTTTTCTTTCCAACCAGATCAGGAACCCCTTAGGCCAAGGCCTGTGATCCAGTTCTTTGCCCCACTCACCCCAGCCCTTTCCTGTGGTGCTGCTCAGTCCCGGATAAACATTTGTAGAGAGAATGAACTCTCCGGTGACCCTTGCTTGATGTTCCAGGGAGGCCGATGCTGGGAACCTGCAGCCCCTGTATGAGTTTGTCCGAGAGGCTCTGAAGCCCGTGGATGATGGACAGGCCGCATGGAGGTGCCCAGTGCTGCTAGTGGATGACCTCAGTGTGCTGCTTAGCCTGGGCCTGGGGGCAGTGGCTGTGTTGGACTTCATCCACTACTGCAGAGTTGCCGTGTGCTGGGAACGAAAGGTACTGATCGGCCTGCTCTCTGTGCTCCTGCCTGTGACCTCCATGGGCCCAGATGGGTCCACACCTCCCTTGCTTGCGGTGATCTTTCTTGTGTATTTGCCTGGGGGTTTGGCTTTACTCTGGTAGCCCCAGAAATCTTTTGGTCTACCATCCTCCACTCCCCTACTTGCTGCTGCTAAAAAATAAAGGCCTCAAAATGAAAAGCTTGATCGGTACTGTCTTGACTGTGGCCGGTCGTGTGTGGTTCTGCAGAAGTCCTAGCTTTGGCACACATTGCCTCGTGTCTTGGGGCAAGTCATTGTCTCTCTGTGTGGGCTTTGAAGATCAGTTGAGATATAAACGGCTGTAAAAAATTGTGTGATGCGATGCAAGTATAGGACCTGATCTTTATTGTCAAACGATGAGGCAAAAATGGGGATTTTGCCAAAACAGAGAGTTAAACAATGGGAGTAGACCCATCTATACAATAGGAATGGCTCTGGTGCCTACCTCGCGGGAACCCAACGGCAGGAGTTTAGTGACACGAAGCTTGCAGCACACCCACACAACATCTGGCCCACGGCGGCCGTGCTTCAGCCTGTGATGGCGCCCCTGGTAGGAGCCTGCAGCCCACTGTGTGGTCAGGCTGCATTGCTGGGCAGCGGTTGGCGTGAGCTAGTGGAGTCAGCCGGGGCTGCATGTCCCCAGCAGGGCATGTTGAGCACCTCCTGTGTGCCAGGGCCTGCCTGGCAACTGGGTTCGGGGGAACTCTGGGGGCCGCGGTCACAGGGCCGGGAGCCGGATGACGTGCAGAGAATGGGAGGAGGCGGGAACGGAAGGGGCGCGGAGGGCGCGATCAGCAACACCGAAGTGGGCACACTGCCTGCAGCTTAGCTTGCTCTGTGGCCTGCTGCCACCCTCGTTTTGTAAAAATACCTCTTTTAGTTGAAAAAGTAAAACTTGGGAATAGTTTAAGAAAGCAAAAATAAATAGCACAAAGAGTACTTTAGTAAAAAGTAATGGTCTCTTACCCGATGTGGATATTGTTCCAGAGTCTGTGCAATTGTGAACGTGTTTTATGTGTGTGTGTGTCTGCATTTTTCTTCACGTCGTGGTCACCTGCCATGCCATTTCACAGCACACCTATATCTTGGTGTCCATTGCCCAAGAACAGAACACTTGGGTTTGCTTCATTCTTTCTTTCTTTCTTTCTTTTTTTTTTTTTAAAAGTTTTTTTTTATTTGACAGAGAAAGACATAGCGAGAGAGGGAACACAAGCAGGGGGAGTGGGAGAGGGAGAAGCAGGCTTCCCGTGGAGCAGGGAGCCCGATGCGGGGCTCAATCCCAGGACCCTAGGATCACAACCTGAGCCGAAGGCAGACGCCTAACGACTGAGCCACACAGGCGCCCCTGCTTCATTCTTTCTAACAACTGGACAGTATACCTCTGAAGGCACTTACTGTTCAGGGTATCCCCTTCAATGGGTCGACCTCCCCCTCCGCTTCTGGTTGGCTAACTCCTGCTTGCCATTCTAACTCTGCTCATGTGTGTCCACCTCCTGACCCTCTCCGCTGGGCCAGACATGATGCCTCTTCCCTGTGCTCCCTCAGCCCCCCATGCTCCCCTTTCTCCTGGCCTGTGTCCTGTGTTGTCTCCAGGGCCCACACTGCTCCCCTCTGGTCCCCGCTGCAGCCCGGCGCTTGCTGAGCATTCAGGAGCCTGGCAGAAAGGTGGCACTTTTTGCTAACATGGAGGACCACAGGCTGAGCTGAGCTGGGTTTAAGAGGGACTGAGCTGGCAGGATAGACTGGATGTGCTGGCGAGGCTGGAATCAGGGTCCTGGAGCACAGGCAAGGGTCCTTCCCAGTAGTAGCAGCATGGAGGCTGATCAGGGCGAAGACGTGCAGGGGATTGGAGGTACCAAGAGCCCGGTGCTCCCTCATGGCCCTGCCTGGAGGAGCAGGTTCTCACCTTGACTCTCTGTTGCAGGGAAACATCGTGGCCCTGGCACACGACAGTGGAGACGGCGAGGACAAGGAGAATGACATCCTCTTGAATGGCCTTAGTCACCAGAGCCACCTGATCCTGCGGGCCGAGGGCCTGGCTACGGGCTTCTGCAGGGACGTGCATGGACAGGTGCGCAGGGGCTCATGGGGCACCAGCTGCTGCTCTGCACCTGAGCCGAGACCATACGTGGGCTAGTGTCAGGCCCTAGGGGTTGTCTGGTTGGGGTGTTCCTTCAGATGCAAGGGAAACCTCAGGAGTTGTGTGAATGCAAGACAGAGTCTGTTCCAGATGGGGCTAGCCTCACACACCAGTGCACGTTTTCCATGGTGGTTCCATTTGTGACCGAAGCAGAACTTCCTAAAAAGGAGACTGCTGTCTGGAGCAGAATGCAGGGGCCCTGCTGTCCGACAGCGGAATGCCTCTGCAGGACCACAGCAGGCTTTGTTTACTAAGGTCAATGCTGCTTCTTTTAAAATACAAATCTGGGGGGACCATACCCTTGGCTAGGGTTGCTGCCGCCCCTGCTGCTGCCTCTGACCAGAATGTTGGAGAACTCAGGCAGAAGCTGAGAGTCCTGCCTTGTGAGGGAGGTCAGGTTCTACCTCCTCCCAAGGGGCTGCCATGGTTCTCTGCCTTCTGGAACTTTTCTTTTGGAATCTCCTCCCACACCCCCACCACAGCTTCCAGGTTAACTTGACATTGACCACTCTTGACCCATTAGGCATGGCTGGGAGTTTTGGCCCAGAGTCAGAAAAGAAAACAAATGGGCAAGCCCCGAGATGCTGTGTTGGTAGTGCCTGTGCGCACAGCGGGAGGAGAGGGTTCAGAGAGGGTTCTCTGAGGCCAGTCCCCTGGAGCATACTAGCATGCCTAGCATCGAGACATCATCAGAATAAACCTCTAGCCTTCCTGAGCCTGTACTAGTTGGAATATACTGACTCTCATGAGTTGATTCTCAAAATCTGTATAGCCCACAAAACCACACACAGAAAAAAGACCAAATTACTTCAGTGGTTTTTCCCTGGATGGCTGTTTTTCTTTTTCTTTCTCTTACACATCTTCTGTAACGGGCAGGTATCACTCCTGTAACGGAGGGGGGAAACCTTTAGTTTTAGTTAGCTGGTAATCTTTGTTTTCAAAGTGGGTCGCATGCTGCATGGCACACTACTGGGACCTCCTAGAGGCGTCGGCCGCAGGTGGTGGAGCAGGCGGGGACTTGGGGGCTGCTTCTCTTTCATTCTTCTCCTTGTTCCTGTAGCTGAGGATCCTCTGGCGGACACCATCACAGCCCACAGCCCAGCGGGACGGGAGCCTCACTTACCAGTACAAGATACAGGACAAAAGTGTGTCCTTTTTTGCCAAAGGAATGTCTCCTGCTGTTCTGTGACCTGATTGAGGAGCACACAGAGCGACCTTGGACCGTTTTCAGATGTGAAAGATAAAGCGACGGGGGTCGGAATGGATCTGTACAGCTTTGAAGTGGCATTTCAGCCTGGACCGACAGCCCCACTGCGGGGCGGGGCGGGGCCCTGAAAGTGGGCTGTGACGGCACGTCCTAGTTCCCTGGGCTGTTCAGAAAACAAGAGGGAATAGCAACCCGGCCTCTGCGGAGGGAGACGCCACATGTTGAAACCGGGTGAAAGTGGTGCCAGGAGCCTTTCATTAAATACGCTTTAGCCTCAACTGCCCATTTGGCTGTTGTGCCTTTCAGAGCCAGAGTGGGTATGAATGTGCCAGCTAGGAGACAGCCCTGGGTGGCAGGCACCAGAGGGACACCGTGGATAATCATGGCTGGTATGAGGAGAGTCCCCATATCGTGGCTTCCTAGTGATGGACTGTCTCATTTAATTTTCACCTGCGTCCTGCAGAAGTATTTGCCCTTCAGTCCGGTAAGAAAACCGGCTTAAAGAGGTTTGGCAAGCACGGTCAAGGCTGGAGAGCCGGCCATAGATAGTGGAGCCTGACTCTGAAGTCCACACTTACTGACCGAGCCTCCCAGAACCCAGGGGCAGGCTCCCCACTTGGTTCACAGCTTCACTTCCTCCTGGTTCTGGGGTCCCTGGCACATGAGGCTTCCTGGTTTGGTGAGAGGGGTAAGGAGTGTTCTTGCTTCCAGGTGGGATGGGGCCTTGGCAAGTTGCTCCCTTACCTGTGAAGACCGAAGAGATGAGCTTTTGCCCCAACATCCTGTAGATGCCACACTCAGCCCATCAGTCAAGATCGCCTCAGAGTAGACACCAGGGGCATTCCCTTAAACTGGGTACATTTTTGCTATATGCAAATTATACTGCAGTGAATTTGAAATGAAACAATAACACTGCTCAGCAGGGACTAAGGAAATTTCATATCTGTTGTTTAATTTTAACTTTTCACGTTGTTTAGTTTTTGTAAAAGGGAACAATTCATCACTCCTCTTCTCAAGTCATACTATTATGTTGGTTATCCCACCGATAACCAGTAACAGTAGCTGCTTTTCTTCCCAAAATATCACAGACCTGATAGAATATTTGAAAATTATGTGTACAAGTAACTTGAGAAAGTGGTTATTGAAGAATCTAATGATTCTTTTATGAATACTCTTCAGTATTTATACCAGCTTCATCTGAGCTACAATCCTGAATGGGCTTGGCACCCCAGAACATTTTTTACATGATACGAATGGTGCTATTCTGTTTCTTCACTTAATTTATAAGTGAATTTACTAAATCTTTTTAATAAGATTTTGTTTATTTGAGTGAGAGAGAGAGAGAGAGAAAACACAAGCAGAGGGGAGGGGCAGAGGGAGAGGGAGAAGCAGACTCCCCTCTGAGCAGGGAGCCCGATGTGGGACTCGATACCAGGACCCTGGGATTATGACCTGAGTTGAGGGCAGATGCTTAACCAACGGAGCCACCCAGGCATCCCTGAGTTCACTAAATTTTAACGTTTAATGGTTACTGAGCATTTTATGGTGTCATTATTCTAATTTGCTCAGCTTTTCTCTGAGCATGTAGGTTCTGGGGTTTGTAATTATAAATTATGTTACAAATATTATTATTATTTTTAATCTCATTAAATTTTATTTGGGGGGCATCTGGGTGCACAGTCGGGTGCTTTACCTCTCTCAAATAAATAAAATCTTAAAAAAAATTATGAAGATTTTATTTTTAAGCAATCTCTACGCCCAACATGGGGCTCGAACTCAAAACCCTGAGATCAAGAGTCGCATGCTCCACTGACTGAGCCAGCCAGGTGCCCTACGAATTTTATATACTATATTATTTGGAGGTGGGGGCAAATACTTGTTTCTTTAGAACTTTCATTCAGTCACTCAGCAAATATTGAATACTTTCTATATGGCAGGCTGCTGTTAGGCACTGAGGGTTATGACCATGACAAAGCAGGTCCCTGCCTGCAACAAATTGAGAAGTAATTTATGTAGAGTTAGACTGTGTTAAGTGCTATAAATAAAACAGGGAAGGGGCACCTGGCTGGCTCAATCTGTAGAGCATGTGACTCGATCTGAGGGTTGTGATTTCGAGCCCCACGTTGGGTGTAGAGATTACTAAAAAAAATAAACTTTAAAAAGTAAAAATAAGGGGTGCCCGGGTGGCTCAGTCATTACGCATCTGCCTTCGGCTCAGGTCATGATCCCACGGTCCTGGGATCAAGCCCCGCATCGGGCTCCCTGCTCTGCAAGAGGCCTGCTTCTCCCTCTCCCCCTCCCCCTGCTTGTGTTCCCTCTCTCGCTGTGTCTCTCTCTGTCAAATGAATTAAAAAAAAAAAATCTTAAAAAAAAAATAATAAAGCAGGGGAAGGGACCTATGAAAGTGAGGGATGATGAAATTTTAGTCTTCTCCCTGAAGTGGAATTTCTGAATTAAAGCATGGATTGGGGCACCTGGCTGGCTCAGTTGGTAGAGCATGTGACTCTTGGCTTCGGGTCCTGAGTTCAATCCTCATGCTGCGTGTGGAGCCTACTTAATTAAAAAAACAAAACAAAACATGGACTGGCCCTCACGTGGTACAGATTGTTCTTCAGAATGACGGAGCCAGTTAACAATGATTTATATGTTTTCCTCCACCAACGTTGGATTTAACTTATTTTTTACTAATTTAATAGTTGTGCAGAGTTGTGGGAAAATGGACATTAATGACTAGGATATGATTTTCTCTCTGTATTTTCCCATGTGTGGAGAATGTATTCCTCACCCTTAATCACTTATCAATTAGAACCTGGGGTCAACCTTGCTTTATTCATTCTTTGTAGTATTTTGGAAAGGATTTTATCATTTGTTCATGTATATATTTTTCTACTTTAAAAAACATTTTATCTTCAGAAAGATTTGTTTTCTATTCTGATATGCATTAGTTCAAGAAATATTTGTGGACCGCCTGTTTTATATAAGGGGCCGTTAAGATAGAGACAGTCTTAAAGGCACCTGCTGTGCTCTGATGGGGGCTAAGCGACAATCACTTAAGTGATGTGACACAGTGGAGAAGATGAGGGCCATAAAACAACGCAAGTAATGGACGGTGACAGGCTGATGGTCACAGGAAAGAGCGATTATTTCCCCATCACTTTTTTGCTTTTGTTGAGGGAGCAGAGAATTGGGGAAGAAATTATGGAGGCAATACTATTTGTTTTTGTTTTTTTTTTTAAGATTTTATTTATTTATTAGAGAGAGTACACAAGCAGGGGTAAGGGCAGGCAGAGGGAGAAGCAGGCTCCCCACTGAGCAAGAGCCCAATGTGGGGCCTGAGCCCAGGACCCTGGGATCATGACCTGAGCCAAAGGCAGCCGCTTAACGGACTGAGCCACCCAGGTGCCCCGAGGCAATACTATTTGAACAAGACCTTGGAATTGTTCCTATTTTGTCTCTGATGGTACCTTAGTTCTTCAGGATTCAGGAGAGGTATTTTCCTTCCTGAGTGGAATGAAGGTGCTGTTCTTTGTTGTTGTTGTTTCTAGTTTAAAATAATTTTTAAAATATGCTTCAAATTAACTTATTTTTTAAAAAGATTTTATTTATTTGTCAGAGAGAGAGAGCACCCAAGCAGGGGGAGTGGCAGGCAGAGGGAGAAGCAGGCTCCCTGCTGAGCAAGGAGCCTAATGCAGGGCTCCATCCCAGGACCCTGGGATCATGACCTGAGCCGAAGGCATGATGCTCAACTGACTGAGCCACCCAGGCACCCCTCAAATTAACTTATTTAGAATTTGCTACAGTATTGTAATTTGTCTTCGTGCTGGTAACTAAATAGCCCAACAGTATTTTCTGAAAAGTAGTGATCCTTTCTTGTTATGTAGTTTGGGTTTATTTATATGTAAAGTTCTTAAAATTGAGCTTTTCTGAAATTTGTTCTTAGTAGGTATTGAAAGGTTAGTATGTGTGTGCCCTCAAGAGCTTTTATTAAAAGGATATCTGCCTGCTTATTTATCCAGATGAATTTCACCAGCACGTTATCCAGCTCTGTAAAGTATCCTTCAAGGATTTTTTGCTCTTGTTTTTAAAATTGTAGTTGTGTAATTTTATTTAAAAAACTAGTGAAGAAATTAATACCCTCTTATTAAATTTTTTTTATTTTATTGGAAAACAAATGATCTGGTTTTGTGGAATTTTTTAGTTTTTAGTTTTTTGTTTTTTTTAAGTAGGTTCCACACCCAGCATGGAGCCCAACACAGGGCTTGAACCCGTGACCCTGAGATCAGGACCTGAGCTGAGATTAAGAGCTGGACGCCTACCAACTAACTGAGCCACCCAAGCGCCCCCGATCTTGTGGATTTTTCTATGGTGTCTTTGACATAGGGATGTAGTTGACTTTTTAAAATATAAGTTATTCTACAGTTTTTCTAAACTAGTCTAATAATTTTCTAATTGAGATTCCTGAATTTTTAGATATTTTTTCTTGTTTTCCTTTTTTCAGATATTAACACCTACAAATAATGCCAACCTTGCTTATTTTCCTTTAAATAGGGAAAATTTTTTTGTAGAAGTATAGTTAACTTACATCATTAGTTTCAGGTGTACAACATAGTGATTCGACAGTTACATACATTATGAAATACCACCATACAAGTAATGGTAATTCTCATCTGTCACCATACAAAGTTATTACACTATTATTGACTAAATTTCTCACGCTGTATTTTGCACCCTGTGACTTACTTATTTTATAACTGGAAGTTGTACCTCCTGATCCCCTTCACCTATTTTGCCCGTCCCCCTCCCCACCCCCCCTCTGGCAACCACCAGTTCTCTGGATTTATGAATCTGTTTCTGTTTTTTATTTGTTTTTAGTTTCCACATATAAGTGAAATCATACAGTATTTGTCTTTCTCTGACTTATTTCACTTAGCATAGTACCCTCTAGGTCCATCCGTGTTGTCACCAATGACAGTACTTCATTCTTCTTTTTTTTTTTTAAGATTTTTT